TAATCTGGTGGCAGCCCTTGTAGGCAGGCAGGCTCGACTGAAGAGAAAAAAAAAAGTGGCGAGGAGTCTGCTCTTTTTTATTTTTCTCCCAGAGCCTGCCTGCCTGAGCTGCATGGGGGCCCGGTGCTTCTCTCTCTGGCTGCAGCACCCCCCAGGATCGCCCAGGCTGGGTGCCAGCAGGCGGGTGCCACCTGGGGGGTGCTGCTGCCATGGAGGGAAGCATCAGCCCTCCTGCAGCTGTGGAGGGAAGCACCAGGCGCCCTTGCAGCTCAGGGACTGCTCAGCCCGCTGGCAGCTTGCCCTCCGTCCCCACATTCCCCCGCTGCTGGAGAGGCAGGTAAGGTATGGGCTCCCACCCTTGTGTACATGCTAGGGGGGTTTAGTTTGGTATAATTCTCCCTAAATTGAAATAGTGGAAACAGTGGGTTTTTAAAAACCCACAGTTTCAATTTAGGGAGAACTAAACCAAATTAAACCCCCGTGGCATGTACAAGCAGCTTAAGTGATAAGAGTGACAGATGAGTGCACCTATTATCACATATTGAGGAAGAAAGGGTATGAGGCAGGACAAATTACAAGAGTGTGAATTTAAGCATAAGTACACCTAGATGATTCTATTTTTTTAAATCTCTAACCATTGTTCTTGTATTTTTGTAGGTGAAATGGCAGATGTGAGTTTTTGGCAGTGACGTGAAAGACCCGAAGCTGCAGATTAAGTGACTAGATTTTGGAACATGGTTCCAAACATAAGGAGTAGCACAGGATAAGGCATGCAGGCAACTGTGGCTAATAAGACAAAGTGATTTTGAAGGGCGGTATTGTTAGCACATGGAAAACAAGGGAGGATGTGGACAGAGATCAAATAAAAATGCAAGCAAGTGGCTACACATCCTGTAACTCTGAAATAAGGATAAATGTTGTGCCAACTACTCTGGGAAACCATAGAAGTGATATGAAGATGACTAGATAGAGACAGATAAATGAGAACAATGATTTTGGAAGTATTGTTTTGGACACTGAAAGATAACGGGGTTAGCCTGATAGAGACCATAGCAAGTAACACCACAGTAATAATAAATAAAGGATACAAATAGTGACATGGCTGGACCTATGACTTGACCATAGGGGACAGAGATAAAAGGTTGATTGCTTTTTCTCTTTTTTAAAAACAGGTGCCCTGGCACTTTTTTGCCTTCATGTCCTGGTCACCAGTGGAATAAGGACTGAAGAAAGGTGGAAACAGTTAAGGGTGACAGGAACATTGTGAGCTTGGATAACAATGAGAATAGAGGTGTTTTGGCAGCAATGGAGAATGGAAGTCAGGTTTGGCCCAATCCATCTCTTCCACAAAATTGCCTAATACAACGACAGCCATACTCATCTCACCATTAATCCCCCCAACCTACCTATTTCCTAGAACCAGAGATTATAGATTTATTTTACAAATTGCCCAGAAGATAAATAAATTTAGACTTTTACAAATCAGTAAGGCAGGGGTTCTCAAACTTTATGATACTGCAACCCCGAGTGATGGATAGCAGCGGTGGGGGACAGGGAGCTTCCTTGTGGCAGCCACCACTGCCATCCATCACTCTGTACTGCCACTGCGCACTGCTTCCTTACGCCGCTGTGCATACCCCCTGGAAAGTTTGCGACCCCCTTTTAAGTTCCCCGTGACCCCCTGGGGGGTTGTGACCCAGAGTTTGAGAACCTCTGCAGTAAGGAATATCAAAACATCCTGCAAATATTGTTCTACCAGAATTTCAGCTAAGTCATCAGATATATGTTAGCACAAACATCTCTGTTGACTATAGATGTATCAGTATTATATTAAGCATCCAGAGTTAGTATGATCTTGGCTATCTCATTCACAGTCTTATTTACATAACACAAGACACATGATCCCACCCTGCTTATGGATAGTTTAAATTTAGTTCACGAAATCAAAGTCTACACTGGAGTTAGTTTACTTCACTTTTGTAGTTATTATGTTACGCTTCAAGATCTGACTTTTGATCTGTGGACAAAGATAAATCTGTTAAAGACAAAGGGTCTGCTAAGTTTTATTTTTTAGGTTAAATAAAAGGAAAAATTAAAAGCCCTTTTACATGGTGACAGGTGGAAACAATAGGAGGCTAGAGTCCAAGGCACCACACAGTATATTGACACACAGCAAAATCTAACTTAGGGGCATTAATAGGGATTTCCCAAGAACAGATTGTACTGGTTGAGGATGTATATGTGAGGCAGAAAGCCCGCAGAAAGTGAGAGATGCTGTGTGAGCGTGGCTTTGGAAGAAAGACAACCAACTGGGTCACAGTACATAGGGAAACTGCCTGCTGTCTGTTTCTATTACTTTCATTCAGGGAAAGAAGTTGCTGTGAGCATATTCTGTAAAAAGGACTGGACCAAAAAAATACCTGAATTGCATCTTCAGTCTAAAAGAGGCAACAACTAGCTTTGGAAGTACTTACCTTGGGAAGTGAATTAGACTTCCCTAACAGGACAATTCTTAGCTCCCGTTGTAGCTTTATAACCTGATTCCCATCGAGGAGCACACATCTCTAGCTCAAGGTAAATTGGACCCTAAGCTTAAACCAGGTGGCTTGGTTGGGAGTAATGGAGGTCAGAACTTAGTTCTACCTAGTAATACAATATGGATTCATCTTGGGACTTCACACAAAGGACATCAATAGGAAATGACAAATCATTCAGGCTGGAAGTATAGGTTTACACTGTGCATATGAAAAATGCAGGAAGTGAAACCCCACAAAAGTTTTTCAGCTGGAAAAATGTTAAAATAATTATTCCCTAAGTGAAACCTTCACATGGATATGGTTTTAAAGTAGAATGGGCAATGTAGGAAATACAATGTCGGACTGCATCCAACATGGTATGCTCGTTTACTCACTTTGTCTAACTGGTTTCTTGGTTAAGGTCTGTCTTTGTGTTTACACAGGGTCTGGGGCAGCCTCCTTTCAAAATAAGTAACTTTTAAGGGAATGGGATAGATGATCTATGAATTACTTAAATAACTTAAAAATAATTAGAACTTGTAGCAAAAAGCATGCAGATTCAATTTCTCAGGTTTAGTTTAAAATCCAGTGCTGTGTTTTATAATCATGAAGGGTTGGGGTACACCCCAAAGACCTGCATGCCCTCTTGCTGTTTAGAGTTAGGACCTGCTCCCACAGCACGTACTCACATGAGCTGCCATAAGGGCTGTCGGTTCAATTCTTTAGATTCATCCTGCATTGGTTGAACAGGCTCCATCAACAACTCATTTCTGTCCAGGAATCACTGTGCCAAATGTTCAGTATCTGACACTGCTTTTTGCAACTTGTGACATTTCTTGAAATCATGACAGGATCTATACTAACGGAGAATAGTGTAACCTAATATTCTCACATGCACCTGCTGAGTCAGAGAGAACAAACTGAAGGTGAATTGTTATGCCTATCAGAATAATACAATAGGACAGCTGTTTCAGATGATACAGAAGTTCAAGTAGATTGTTCAAGTGGATTCAAGGAAGAGAAGAGAAAGTTTCCCAACTAGGTAGGTGTTACGCCACTTGAGCTTCACAGACTATAGTTAACATTTCAAACGCCAAAAGTACTTGTAAACCAATCGGTACCCACTGCAGGATCTGAAGTGCTGGTATTAGGAAGGAATACCGATTAATAAGAGGGTTTTTATAACAACATTGGATCACTGGACAACACTGGATGCTTATCTTGCTGGGATCCTATGACCCCAGCTGACTTCCTGCCCTTTGGGCAGGGGGCTGGACTCGATGATCTTCTGAGGTCCCTTCCAGCCCTAATGCCTATGAAACCTATGAAAGTAGGATAAATCAGAAAGTGCTTCAACCACGTAATCTCGAGGTGACAATAGCACATATGATGATATCAGGGTCTATACAGAAGAGAAAAAGGCATTGATCGCCTGAACAGGGGGACAAAACTCATACCAATCACTGCCACTGCCGACCAGCTGGCAGCGGCTCAACATACAACCAGTCCTACTGACAGCAATATATATCATGGATGTCGGGTGCGTGCACTTGTGTGGTTAAACCCCCCCCCCCCCAAATACTCCTCGCCACATACCACATCACCTGCCAACGCCCCTTCGTTTACCTGGACTGAGTTTCATCTGTGTCGTCCTCATCCTTTTTCACACCTCTACAAGCCGTCGGCTCAGGTCGTCCCATCCCCGTCCGCCGAGCCCGCTGAAACGCAGACACGCAGTGGGGGTGTTGGCGAGAGGGTGAAGACACCACCGCTTCCGTAACCCTCCCGCGTACATTGAAAGCGAAGGGGCCCACGGACGTTTCATGAGCGCCCTCGTGGAAAGGAGCGACTGCTCGGCACCCGACGCTGGGATCTTTCCTCTCCTTTCCTACCCAAAGCTCAGGGGCCTCCAGGCACCTGCTCTCGTGCAAAAAACACACGTTTGTTTTTCTTGCTGGGGTCACTCGATCCCAGCGGACTTCCTGCCTACGCCGGGGGGGCCGGACTCGACAATCTCACGAGATCCCGTTGATGAAATCTATTAAATCTACGTGTGTGCGTGGGGGTGGCAGCAGGACGACAATGCGCAGGCCCCAATACCGGCGACAACGGTCCACATCCTTTCAGCCGACTCATCTGGCGCCCCCGAAACTCGCGAGCCGCCCACGGGCGAGCTCCCAATCCGCGTCGTCGAACGAGGTGTAAACTAACACGCGTGGCGGCCCCTTCACCACCACCACCACCACCAGGCCTCACGACGCTGCCCTGTGCCGTTCAGGAGACGGACAAATCCTAGGGATGCGCAACCTGCGCAAGGGACTCCCAGAGCTCACATCTAGCGCACCCCCCTGTGCAAGACAGCCACTGCTTGTGTCAACCCAGGCACAC